CATGCTCTGGACCATCCTTCTTGTGTTCTAGCCAAGAAGGGAACTACTCAGTGCTCCTTCTCATCATAACTTGTGCCAACTCTTCCCTCAAGTGGCAGTGGTTGGGATCAGGAGTGGCAGGGTGCTGCGGTGAGGGACTTACTCTCGCTTCCTAGATGTACACAACCTGGTTCTGTAAGTATGCTGCATGAGGAAAAGCACTCCTAGTTTGCAGTCTCCCATCCCAAATCTGAAAAAGAGGAACTCTAATTTTTCTGGTCTGGAGCAGTAGCCTACCCATTTACAATAAACAAAGCAGATAAAGAAATGCCTACGTACATTCCTTATTTCCAGTTAAATCTAAAGTGTAGGGCTTATATAAGGCCTCAGGTTATTAAAAATCCTTCCACATGTTCCATCCTGTCCTGAATTAACCTGTCTGTGGGAGCTTTGCTTCTGGGTCACATCTGTAGATGAATCAAGAGAATTGTCCTAAATGTCATTCAGTTTTTATTGCAGCTGCTTTAAAAGGAAAAGAAAAAATCCAACAAAAAATTGCAAACCTCGACCGAATTAGCACAAAATCCTAGCTTTATCCTCTTGACTTTGTGAATTAACTCTTAATTCAGCTCAAGAAATATTAATCATGTGTCCTAACAATGCCCTGTTACTGTCTGGCTTTTCAATTAAAACTTCACAAGCTTTTAATGAAAAAGTAGTGAAACTACCGTGCATTAGCTTTCCCCCAGGTTTCCAAACCTGGGGCGATCTGTCTCTTCAAGCTTGGAGAGTTGTGTCCCCGAGGCACTGACACGGAAGTTAAATGGGCTGTAAAGCCAGAAAGGAATCAGCCAGGCTTTATAAGGCTCTGATTTATAGGGAGCCAGCAACTGGTAACTCTTTTGAGGTCAGTGCAGTCTGCGTGGGAAAAAGAACAATAAAAGGCTTGAGCCTCTTAGGCCCTCCCTTCTGCTGAAGGCAGGATGGGCGTGTAGTGTTGGTACACGTGGCAATGAAGTATTTGAAATGTCGAGGATTGCCCACGTTCCCCGTATTACCATCCCTTCGTTCCCTTACCCTCTCCAAAGCAGTTTATCCTGCCCGTGACCCTCAGCATATGCCCACGTTTTACCTGTGTTTTGCGAGAAGCGTATCTCCAGTGAAAGTGCGCCAGCAAAGCACGTGGCCTTTAAAAAATGCCCTGATATGTGGAAATAACTAGAATATCTAATGCCCGATCCTTCTGTGTCCATGTTGCCTCCCCACCTGCTTGTGAACCTGCTGAGGATCTAGCATTACATCACACTGAGCTAAGATGTTTTGCTGAGCCTGGGCAGCTACCGGCCCACCTAGTAGCTGGGTGGTACTTTTGTCTGTATTACTGGTTCCTTTTTATCACGGTCAAATCACCTGTGGGGCCCCTCTAAAGAACAACTTTGATTTTCTTGGTGAGAGGACAGGGGAAAAAAGAGCGGTGGATCAGGAATAGAGCCAAAGCAGAGGCTGGACGTACTGAGAAGTATCAGGATGGCTTAAATTTCACCGCAGTCCCTGTACCTGCCTGTCCCCACTGACTACTGGTGGCTCCCTCTTCCCTGCCGTGGGCTGCTGAGTCACTGCTCAAAGGCTCTTGGCTTTTGCTACTGTACAGTATATGACTTCAGTGGAATTGAGGCTGTCTGAATCTGGCCCTCGTTGGTCCTTTTTTTTTTAGTTTCTTACTGAAAAGAAGCTTGCTACAATCGCCAGAGCTCACAAGCCCACAGAAGTGTAGTGTAGCTGTGGAATATTTTTTTTATAAGCTGCTTGTTGAACCAGTCACAGTGGCATGGATGCACTTCCAGCGGTTTGTGAAGAGAAGAGCAGTGACCAGTTGTGTGTGTCCCTGTTCTTCTTTTTGCTAGCGTCAGATTACAGACGTGGTCTGGTTTGCTGTGGTGTGCTGCGGACGGGAAAGGAATTCGATTTGTGGAAGGTTAGAGCTGAGCAGAGAGGAGGGTAGTGTAGAGGTTCATGAGTTGGCAGGTTTTACCCCTAGTTCTTTCGTTGTTTAATTGCTGTTGTCTGAGTCTGTATCGCCTGTGGAAGTAAAAAATTGGCTGTGATCGTAGGTGTCTGTTCGTAGCTGACGTTACAGTGAGAATATTTCCTACTTAATCCACGTCCTGGCGATCAAAGGAACGAAGGCACAATCTCAGAGCGCCTGGACAGGGGGGGCTGCCTCTCCACCCTCGCTCGGCGCAGGGCGGTGGAAGCCAACCGCAGTGAGTGACTCCCCGCTGCACTGCTCTCCAGTGCCTGCTGGCACCGGGCAGGTCGGGGCTGCGCGCGGAGCCCTGTCCTCGCACGCTGCGCAGCAGCCCTGGCCCGCACCGCTCGGTATTTGCTCTTTGGATCTGGTAACCTCTGCCTTTACTTAAGTTTCTTGGCTCTTGTTTTCCGTTGCCCGACTTGGCGATGCTGGTTGTTTCCTCCTAGGTCTGAGCTGCATTTAAAACAAAATCTAGTTGTTCTGGTGAAGTGTGACTTTCAAGACGGTACTGGAGTCTTGAATTGACGGTCACTGCTCACAGAGCAGAACTTGCTTTGGGTTTGTTGGCGTGTTTGTGGCGTCTGAACGTTTTCACAAATGTAATGCTTTATTAGTTTTTATTTCATTCTGAATTAAGACTTTGTGGTGATCCTTAAGTGGCTAATAAACAGCCTGATCGCTCTTAACCCTTCCCCTGAGGAACGCTGTGCATCATTTCTCTTTAGAATTTCTGAACGTGTTACTGAGCCGGGTGATGCTTCTCGTATCCAAGCAATTTAAAGGCATTTATGAAGAAAAGTTACTTTTTGAAGTGTTCTGTGAGATTCCTTTATTCGTGTGCAAATGTCTTCCAGAACTCCATGGGCTGAGGAGATTTAGGTCCCGCCGCTGCCAAAATACGTTACGAAATCTTGACGTTCCCAGCGCTGCCCTGTACTACAGCCTCTGCCCTCATACAACCTCTGCAGGAATGGGTCCATCAAGGTTTGCAAAACAGCAAGGCGTTGGGGAACTCCCGTACTCAACTGGGGCTCCCCAGACCCCTTTTCACAACCCAGCTCTCTCAAGGGTGGGTTCAGTGCTTTTCGCCAGGGCCCCGCTCCTGCTTTGTTTGCTCTCGCTGCAGCCGCTGCCAGTGACCAGCGGCGTTCGTGCTGTCTTTCCTGTGCCTGACAACTCTGTGGGTTGGTTTTGTGTGCGTGGAGGTGTCCTGTGTCCCCCCCGGCTAGGGAAGTGAGGAGTTGCAGTGTGCCTGGTGTCTCTGTGGCGAGTGCACACGTGGCTGTGGAGAGTCCGGACATCCCGTGCCTCCCCGAGAGAAAAGCCCGTTGCTGCTGGCCCGGAGCTACGAGCGCTGCGAGTCCGCCTGCCCAGGGTTACAAGCCATTGCCTTGTAGGCCCCCAACTGCTCGCACGTTAGGAACTAAGCAGTCGTTTGAAGTTACCAAAGCTAAAATGCGTTTTCCTTCTGCTCCCTAAGCAGGGCGCTGGTATCGATTTGGCCCCTTTGGCATCAGTGCGAGCAGGTGCAGCTGCTGGCCCGGCTCCACCCACAGTCGTGCTCGAGCATCTCAGTGGGCCAAACTGGACACTGATCAGGATTAAAAACAACTCAGCAAAATAAAGAAAGCGTTTGTTTTTTAACTTGGATCAGTTCCTGACACAGACCGCTACGTGAATCCATAAAAAGCTGTGGAACAACCGAGGAGGTCTCTTGGAATGGGAAACCATTGATAGGCGACTGGAGCAGAACCAAACCCCAAATTCACAGGTGTCGGGAAGGGTTTAAAAAGAGGGGGCCAACTGCTGGGGGTGCGTGAGGAGAACTACTGCGTGCAGAAGGGAACAGGGAGAAAGAACAAAGGGTTTGTAATTTTTTTTCTTTGTGTTACGACGGGACTGAAAAGGAAAGCTTGCTATTTGAACGAGGAGTTTGCAGGGAAACAGCTCCCAGCACCACAGTACTTGATAAAATGCTCAAATAATTCCTGTTAGGAGCAAGGGAGTAACTGGACCTTTGTTAATGGTTTCACAGACTTCTGTTACATGGCATAGCAAACTTTGGCATTCCTCTCTGCCCCTATCTCTTGGTTTTGTGTTCTTGGTATCACACCTATCTTAGGTTCTTCTGCGCTTGATTTTTTTTCCTCTGGTAATTTTCCCCCTGAAGCAGATCTCTTCTGTGTTAGGTACTCAGCGGTCCGTGCATGACGAGGATCAACAACAGCGCTGTTCTTTCTGTAAGGAAGGAATCGGTATTTTGCACTTGCAGTTTCTCTAACTGGAGCCCACTGTTACATTTTTAGGATTTCTACAGATTTTCCCTAGCTAAATAAATCCAAACGAACCCTGTCAGCATCTTTGGATGCCCGTGCTCGGTTGTTCTAACTTGCGTGACCGAAGTTACGATGCCAGTCTTGGAAAGTGAGCTTATTTAAGAATAGCTATATTTGTTGTTAGTAAATTACTAGAATTACTGCAGACTACAGACTGTTGGTACAAAGTAGAAATACGGGCTTCAGAGACCACTGAAAATGTAATAAAATCAATGTGAGAGAAACACGGTTGGATGAAAAGGGACAAGCAATACAGAACGCTTGCACAGAATGGAAAGGGGAGCGGTGTTCAGCTGGGCTCATGCACTTGCATTTGGTTTCTTTTTCTTTGCTTGGTTTCAGTTTGGTTTCAGACTTTGGCATCTTGTTCTCTGGTTAATAGTGCCCACAGGGTATGTTTTGGTGATGTACCCAGCGATGGAGTAACGTCGGGGAAAGGAGGAGCTCCCAGCAAAGCTCTTAGAAGTGGTTCCATTCTCTGGAAACGCCAGCTGGGTGTTGTAATCTCTCCTCAAATGTAGGTCAGACAACGGCTGCTCCTGCAGAGGCCCTCTCATCTTTCTTCCAGTTTCCAGGTGTCCTGTTCCTTCCTGTACAGGGGAGGTAGTGCTGGAGCCATCGCTCACGTGTTGTGTCCTCCCTTTTGTTCACAGGGGACGGTCTTTACTTTGGAATCCGAAGAGGAAGAGTACCCCGGGCTCATCGCAGAGGACAGTAATGACATCTACATCCTGACCAGTGACAACTCGGGACAGGTGAGCCCCCCGGAGTCCCCCACGGTGACCACGTCGTGGCAGTCGGAGAGCCTGCCCGTCTCCCTGTCAGCGAGTCAGAGCTGGCACACGGAGAGCCTGCCAGTCTCCTTGGGCCCCGAGTCCTGGCAGCAGGTGGCCATGGATCCTGAAGAAGTCAAAAGCCTGGACAGCAACGGAGGGGGCGAAGAGAGGAGTGAGAACAACTCTTCCAACTCTGATATTGTTCACGTGGAGAAGGAAGAGATACCGGAGGGGATTGAGGAAGCAGTGGTGTCGGCCGTCGCTGCAGAGACCATGCAGGCAGCGTTTCCAGAGACCCCTGCTTCTTTACAGGAAGTAAAACCTCAAGCTGAAATTGCTGCTGTTGAAAAAGCACATCCCTCCGCGCCTCTGCGTACAAAACAGGAGGAAAAGGGAAAAGTGGCCGAAGAGCTTGTTGAACCTGAAATCCCTGTATTAAGTAAACCTGTCCCAAAGTTAGCCCCATCAGAAGAAAAGGCTGCACCGGAACCTGAGAAAATACTGCTTCCAGGGGAAAAAAAAGGGGGGAAAGAGGGCTGTTTGGAAGAAATAGAAGAGAAAACCTCCGCTGCAGAGGAGAAGCCTATCTTATTGCCGGAAGGGAAATCTATATTGCTGTACGGTGGGGCTGCCGCGGTGGCTATATTAGCTGTGGCAGTCGGAGTAGCGCTGGCGCTTAGGAAAAAGTAACGGAGCTCTCTGGAGGAGGAGGAGGAGGAGGAGGAGGGGGGAGCTCTCAGAGAGCACGATCCAATGTTTGTAGTTGTGTTACCTAAAGGTTGAGCTGCCTACTGTTTAACTGGACGTTTGAGTAACTTAATGGTGACGGGGTGAGGTCGTTCAATAAGCCTCCAGCTATGGACAATCACATTTTTAGTAGAAATGGGGCGGGGACTGGTTTTTCGTGATTAAAGTACAGGGGTATTTTTAAAAAAAAAAAAAAAAATAAATTCTGCAAATTTAAGAACTTAAGTGCAGGTGCTGAAGAAGGGGGTGCTGGTACTCTAGGACCTGGAACAGAGAATCCCCAGGGGAAGGGGAGAGCCAGCTGCTGCCAGCCCCTGGAGTTTTTGGCTTCTCAGCCTGACCGCTACTGCAGCTGCGCTGTCTCGTCACTTCCCGCCGCGCCCTCCCTCACAGACGTGAGCCAACCCGAGTCCTGTAGCGAGAGGCTGGTCTCCCTTTTGTCTCGGCTTCCTCTCAGGTACAGCACTGCTCCTCGTAACCTCGCAGGTTCCTCCTAAGCCCCAGTGGGAGAGTGCTTATTCTTACCTCTTTGCTCACACCGGTTTGGCCCCTAACATTTACTGGAGCCCCACCCTGTAAAGATGCTGCCTCTCTGTAGCTGTATTATCGCTGGGCGTCCTGGTGTTCCTGGGGGAGAGGTGCAGGATGGGCTTCGGCTGCCCGGGAGGGTGGGAGGGACACCGCTATTTGCTGGTTTGAGAATCCATTTGCTCCGCTCCCGCCGGCCCCACTTTACTGCCACCCTCGAGTTACCAGAGGCGCAAAATCCATGCTGGAGACGGTGCCGTTGTGATCAGCGCTCTGCTACCGGGGTGTGTTCCGCACGGATACGGCAGAACTGCGTGGAAGCGAGGCCAGTGCCTCCTGCGCAGTTCACAGGTTAAACGCTACGCTGTCCTGTATCACGCTGCAGTCTGTATCGTCTTTCCCAGGTTAAGCACGGAGTGTATTTAGTCCTAACTTGGTCTTGGCTGTGACAGAATCCCAGATACATAAAGCAGTGGATTCTAGTAACTGAGCAAAACAGCATTAAACATCTCCTCTCTCTGCCTGTTCCTGACCTGACCCGGAGTGTTGTTCAGTGCGATTTCTTTTGCGACTCTGAATCTGTAATTAGTGAAACTTACAGGTTCACAAACGGTGAGGAAGTTGCTTTGGCAAAAAAAAGTAAATCCCTCTTCCTGCAGTCACACCACTTCAAATGTGCGCGGAGAGAAACCGCCTAAGTATTGCCACGCACCCCGGCTACGTCGGATCCAGCCGCCAGCGCTCCTCTCTCAGTGCACGTTTCTGTCTGTCCTTGTCCGTACGGCAGTTCTGTGGGCAAGACCTGAGGCTTTCCAGGTGAAAGGCTGACACGCCTCTGAGGGTTCGTGCTGGCGCTGAGGCTTGGGACAGGTGGAGGGAGGTGACAGGGAACTCGGGATAATGTAAAAATCGAAATTACAGGAAGCTTACTCTGCATAAAGCACAAAACCAAGGTACTTTTTATTTCTAAATAACCTTATCTAGAGTACGTGAGCCTGGTTCTGAAGGGATCCGAGAATGAAAAGACTTTAGCACATTCTCTGTTTTAGGATATTCTTGCTACGTTTTCCTACCCCACCCATATCCTAGGATGCTGGGAAGTCGGTAAAGAACCTGGCAGATTCTGAGGAATTTTTTTGTTGTTGTTGTTTTAAGCTTTTATGAGTGGATTTTCTAGAAAACTTCTTGGATTTTGAACTGTGTGTGTGAAGTTGAATATTAAGAGGAAGGATTGTCACGTATGTACTGCTGCTGTGGACCAAACTCAGGAGCACTGGAGTTCTGGACTTTGCTGTTGATCATGGATTGCTCTTTCTTGATGTACGAAAGGTAGCAGGTTGGCCTTAACAGAAAAAGAAACCCTTCACCGTGTTGCAAAATGGAATTGACTTTTTTTTTGCCATTTCCTGGTGCCCTGCTGGTTCTCTCATTGCTGTGCTGCGTGCCCCGAAGGGGTCACTGGGGCCTCCTCACGCCATGGACTCGCCGGTGTCTGCCTTCCCGCCACCGCAGTTCCCTCTCCTGGTCCCTCACGGGAGCTTCCCTCCCGCGGAGAGGGGAGGTGTCTCCGTGCTCCTTTTTTTTTTCACAGACGTGCACAAATGTTTACAGTTTTGCTTCATGTCACGTGTCGCAACAGCGTTTATCAGCAAGTGACACAGTCTGTGAGGGTACCTGGTGGTTCCTGTGTGGCAAGGGCTGCTTCACTGCCCGGTCCGTCGGGGTAGGCCTGCCCCTCTCCTGCTGCTCTGCTGATGGCTTCCCTTTCCTCTCCGGGCACCTTCTCTGTGGGAGAAGGGCTGTTCTTAACCCGACTTACATCCTCTCCGCACTGACGGTGACGCACCTACGTTTGGGCCGTCCCCCAGCTGTAGCCACACAGCAGGTTACCCAGAAGAAGCAGAGGTGGATTTTGGGGACACATTGGATAAGGTGTGTACAAACTGGGGGTGGGGGGCAGGGCTGGTGTTATTTTAGCTCTTCTCTGTACATGGTTGGTTCAGTAAGTAGCGTGGGAGATGGGTACAGGACAGATGAGAAGAATGAAGGCACAAGGAGCCCAGTGGGGCATTAACTAAAAAGTGTTGTCTTCCACACGCAGCAGTGAGAAGAAGGTGGCAGCAAGGAAAATAAAGGGCTGCTTTGTTACGCATTTTCAGGGTGAGGCAAAAGCCTTGAGTATCTGGTGTGTTGCTACATTTAACGGAGCATCAGCTGCACTGTGTTCTGGTTGCTTGGGCCTTTCTTTATAGTGTTCTCCTTTTAGGGGCTTATAGATTTGACAAGTCAGCAAGAATGTATACCCTCTTCTGCCCCACGCATTTAGAGAATTTAGTGTGTGTGTGTGTGTGTGTGTCTCTCTCTCTCTCTCTCTCCTCTGGGAACACTCCGTTAGGTAAAAAGGTCAGTTCTGGACTTGAATTTGGAGTCCTGTGGTCAGAGCTGGGACAGACCCTGTGCAAGTCACCGAAGGGTGGGTAAGCTCAGATGACAGCGTTCTTGCAGGCTTGAGTGCCAGGCTGCTCTAGTCTAGGTGTGAATTAGAAAAGGGAAGGGTCTCTTCCCACCCCCCCATCTTCAAGTATATTAAAGTACTCCTGACCTGCAGGGTCCAACTACTCCCAGCCGTGTGGTGGAACCTCTTTAGTGGCTCTCTTGCAGCTGGCAGAGGAAAGACAGTAGCTACGTACTTATGAAAGGGCATACAGACTCAGTTGTGTTGCTTATCCCCTTCCCAAAAGTGCCTCAATATCTGTCCTCGAGTGGCCTGTACCTTAACGAAGTATCTACCTTGGCCCCGTTCTTTCTTCACTTTATCCTTGGCTGCAGCACACCCTAAGGCTGGGATGCTAAACCAGCAGTGGACTGGCTCCACAAACCAGTGTTCAACACTTAAGGACCGGCAGGGGGTAGCACGCTAGATAAGGACCTGTCAAGGAAAGGCTTCCCAGAGCAGGTGCAACTTAAATTTCAGTTGTGCTTAACTCCAGGCTATGCCCACCGGGGCACTGGGGCTGGGAGCTGGGCAGGGCCTTTCTTCAGCAAGCATTCCCGGAGCAGCAGGCTGCGAGCAAAGCCTGAACCCCTGGATCCCTCTGTTGAGTAAAAGCCCAAACCACTGCCACAGGGCTGTGTCCCTGCCTGTGGCAGGGGCTGGTGGCGGCCTCCTGCGTCCCTTAAACAGCAGAAGATCCAGGCCGTGGGGCTGTAGACGGCACAGCAGGGCCAAGCGGCTCGGCTTGGGCAAACCAGGATCATTACTGGGCACAGACAGAGACACACACCCTGAAAACTTCAGGCCTTGGGTCTTGCTGCGTAGGAGTTCTCAGGGTGATAATGTGGCTGCTGGAAAATACTGAAAATAACCTGGATCTAAAATACTAGATCTAGCCCAATGAAGGATGCTAGAGCGAGGAAAGCACTGCTTCTGCAGCCTTCTGTCCATCCAGAGGCACTCCTGAAGCAGGTGCCTGCTCCAGGCACACACCAGCCTGAGCAGCCACTCCTAGCAGGGATGCAGTAGGAGCACAAGCTCTGTTTAGTGCCGCACCTGGTTTTGGACACCAGTTTAACGTCTGGCTGGAGGTGAAGTGCCTGTGGTGGTGGTTGTTCCTTTCCTAACCTGCCTGCTGCCACCCTTGGTGTTTGAGGGCTTGCTTTTTTCATCAAAGCAGCTCAAGGGCCAGGTGAAGGCTGTCCTGTGCACAGTGCAAGGTCTGACACCCAAAACCCCTCTCCTTCCTTTTCACGTAGCTCTGAGCATGACTAGGCTAACACTTTGGGCTGTATTTCTAAACTAATCAATGCTTTCTAATGGTCACAAAGGAAAAATTTCATTGATACTAAATAAGCGAGGTTCTGAAGGTTGGTCTTTTTTCATTTTAGTGAGTATAGCAGACAAAATACTTTGAGGTCATAAGCCTTCCCTACATTTAATTCCAGCTACAGCAGCCCAGCAGTACAAGCAAAGCTCTAGTAAGGTAGATATTGCTATTCTGGCAAAAAGAAAAAAGTTTCTGGCAGCAGAGTCTGTCATTCACTGAGCCAGAACAAGCCCATGCTACAGACTTTTGAGTGTGTAGTTACTAGACGCTTTTGCTGTGAAATGGGGGTGGAGGGGCAAATGCAGCCCCAGCTGCCGTGCCTAAGTAGAGCCCAGGGCTTCAGTAGAACGGCTCAGTGCAGGCATGAAACATACTGAAGGTCACCACCTCTGTCTGTGCCTGCTCCGAGAGGGGCAGACACCTACAGGAGGTGGTGTGTCCATGCCGGTAGGTTACACAACAGGCAGAAGTGGTTCCCACTGAAACACAGCAAGGCAGAAGCTGTGCATGACTTTGATGTGGCTTGGTCTGCTTCATTTCAGCCCTAGGAGGGTGACAATAGTATCGCTTTGACTCCGGGTAGGCATCAGCACTTCAACGTGCAAGCTCTGGATTGCCATAAAAAGAAGGGGGGGGGGGGGTGTGACAAGATGGAAGCCAGCCCTGCTCGACTCTGGCAGAGCTGCCAGGCCCCTGCAGGGCTTGCTCCGGCAGCAGTACTGGGCTTGTGCGTGCTGGAGTGGTGGGCCTGGGTGGGGGATGAGAGCTGTGCCAGCATGGAAGGGTGAGCTGTCACCAGTACAGCCCTGGGAACAACACCACATTGCCCAGATCCCCCTCCTGAAGTTAAATAACTTTATC